CATCCGACGTAACGTCTCCGTTCCCTACTCAGGGAACGAGGGTTACATCTGTAACCGAGACGTTATCTTTAATATTTTCAAGATCGTCTCGGTTTTCTTGACTGTAACCCTGTTCCCTGAAAAAGCGGGAACGAGATGCTGCGTTTGATTCAGCGCTCTGGGTACAGTTTTTGTTGTCACCAGCTGTGAAATATGTGTGCAACACGTCAATGAAATTGATTTAGAACTGGGGGTGTCTGGACCCCTCACGGTTGTGTAGTGTGAACTCACAAGCACGCGTAAAGGTCTCAGACATGAGTCCTGGGCAACAACAGGAAGCAACGGAACACTCAACATTTCGCTGGAAACCGCTGCCCCCCAAAACACCAGAAGCGGCGGGGATGGTACAGAGGTTTCGTGGGGGTGACGGGAAGGGGCGGGCTGATTTATTTTTCATGCACCCCATCCCGAGAAAAAACCACCCCCACAGAGCTGGGCGCAAGACCATCAGGTCTTCCTCTTTTTGAAGATGATAGTCCTGAGGTCTGGCCGTTTTGGAGGCTGCTGAGGGCGGTAAGCCGGTCCCCAGTCTTGATGAGGGGGGAGTGCTACTTGCCACACTCTATTTTTGTGCCTCACGTTTTACAGAAGGACTGGGATGAGGCTGGGTGGCCGGCAGCCCTTCCCCCTGAGTGCCAAATCTGTGGCTCGACGAAGAATGCCTCCTTGTCAATGGAACCTCCTGCACTCAGGTCCTTCAGCAGGTCAGCCTGGTATTCCTGTAACACCGCCATGGTGTGCCATGACCTGCCGTTTGAAACACTTTCCCCACTAGTGTTGAGGTGGTTCTGCACGGCTTAGTGGGGAGAGTTGGTTTCTTTAAAGGTGCCCTAGAATGTTTTTTTTATTATTTTATAATGTTTCCTGGGTTACCCTTATAATGTTAGTATGTTTTTTAGATAAAAAATAATCATAATTTAGAAATAAATGGCATTTTTCCTAGCCTGACTTTAGCCTCTGATTTGAACACTCTGTTTGAAGGGGCGTGTCTGCTGTGGGATTCAGTGTAACCGCGGCCACTGCTGTGATTGGCTGACATGCTTGCATATGAAATAGCAACGCATTACATGTGAAACTCTCTCCCGAATACTTTTACTACTGCTATTATACGTTTTTACTATAACAGCTATCGAGATTAACGAATCGTGAGATGTTTTTAAAGTATTTAGATCTATTCCCATCACATAAAATGTTGCCGTAATGAGCATTGAGCAGATGACAGTGATCGCGAGAATGAAGATCTTATCATTGCAAAGCAGTTTCTGCACTCTCTCTGCTTTCACCAATGGAAACACGATGATGTAAATACAGTAATAGCTTCGTTGTGCAGTGTAACGTGCGTCATTGATTTCATAACGAGTTTGGCAAGTGTCCAGATAAACTCGCGCTGTGTGGAAAGATTGTTCTTTGATCGCTTTCTGTATATAATTTGTTCACAATTTAAATACGATTATTTTCATCCTACTAAAAGAAACGATGTGAAGCTGATATTTTAGTCACTGGCTTGACTTACTGATGCATAAACAGTATTGAACGATTTTGAGAGAAAGATTACCTGTCTGAACTTGAACAATTACACATCAGAAAGTGTTGCTTGGTAGCTCGATCCGAGGCCAGCTCTGTATTGGCCCAAGTTGAGGAAACACTCGGTGAAATGTTTGGAAATTTCCAGAGAAAATAAAATTAACCCATTGTTTCTTCAGAGGCTCAGATGAAGGAACTAAAAAATACTTTTGTGTTCATGTGTACATCCACACTGAGCAACTGCCATGCTTCGGCTGCGCAGTTCTGCCTGGCATTGAGGGCTGGCATTATGCAAATATTTGGAGGCGTACATATTAATGATCCCGACTATTGCGTCACAGTCGGTATTGTGTGGAGAACCGACCGTTTTTCAGGGGTGTTTTTCATAAACGTGAATTAAATGAGAACGCGAAAACAGTCCAGTTTGAGATTCACTCTATGTCATGTCCATGCACTGAACTCTTGTTATTTGACTATACCAAGGTAAATTCAATTTTGAATTATAGGTCACCTTTAATGATACTGAACCAGGTGAGAGATAGCTTGTGAGCATCCCTTCAACCTGTGGCATCATCGTTTATCCCCGTGCCTTCGCACCAACGATAATCGATAATCGATAATGTCGACGTCGAAGACACAAAGACACAAGAAGTATATGGTTTCCCCCATGAACGAGATAACTCGTTATGGAGCTCATCAAAGAATGGGAGAGATCCGCTGTTGGGGTCCCTCCTCTTGGCCACCAGACTGAAATCTGTCTACCAGTTTAGAGCGTTAAGGGGTCTCTTGTTCGCGTGGCCAGTCTAGCTGTAATCTGGCCACCGTGCAAGTAACCATCTTGAGTAATTCCTCACACGCTTTGTCATCACGTGAGGAACACTCGGAGATAGGCAACTCATAATCCATACAGGATTTTAAGAGATTCATTGACCTCCGCACGAGCCGAAGAAGCGCCGGGACAGAGCGAGTGCAATGGACGGACCCGTTTATCGCCCCTCAGGCAGATCCATATGCGAGCTCCATGATGTCATAGCGGGTGCTGGCCCTTGGGAGTAAGCAAGAAGAGCACGTAGCATCTTAACCATGAATAATTCACAATGCTCGCACTCGCCCTTCTCCAACGCAAGGGCAGCGTGCTCCTCCCCCAAACAAAGCAATACTGTGTGTGTTGCATTTAAACATAGGCTGTGAACATGGAGGCACACACCGTTTATTATGCACATCGCTCATTTGTCTTTTCTTTTCCTTTTTCATGTTTTTTCACAAAGAGTGAGAGGATAAAGAGGAAATTCTTGCACACTGCCTAATGAAAACTAACTCCCAGCAGAGAGTCAGATAGAGCTTTATTCACACACATACACACACACACAGTATGGTCTGGAGACAAAAAGACCAATGCACCTGTGGCACATCAAACTATAGCCTCTGATGAGCGTGCATTCCGATGACATCACTGTCCAAGTCAATTTCACTGATGTGTTGCACACATATTTCACAGCTGGTCACAACAAAAAGTGTTCCCAGAGCACTGAATCAAGCGCAGCATTGAGAGTAACTTTTTAAAGGGAACATACATTTAGATTAAAAATGAGGAAAAGAAACATTTTGTGAGATAAATATCCTGTTATTATGATGGACAAAAAAAACAAACACTTTTTATATATAATTTCTACATAAATGTTTTAATGGAATGTTGATTTAATTTGATTAACTTCATAATTTCCCTCATTATTACAGTATTAAAGAGAAAGATTCTGCTGGCCATCTCAGGATGTCTTGTCTGCTTTATTGTCATCCTGATCATTGGATGCCTTGTTCTAAGAATCACCTGTAAACCAGGTAGGCTACAAACATAACACAATTCATATACTTCTGAAATTAAGTGTCTTAGTTAATGATACTGGTCTCATTATTTAAAAAAAACAAGCAATATCTATTTACACCAAGTACTAGAAACCAGCCTCATGTCACCCAGGATGCATTTACACGGCAAGTCTCAATGTACAGATCAAATCTTTTGTTCATATCTGATTTTTTGGCCTGTATCCGATATCTGTGTTCACATTAATTCCACCCCAAAATTATTTTCGGTGATCTTTTTACTATGCACATGGTAGACCCTGGTTTTGAATGGCCGTGCTATTAAAATTATTTATATAATTCATGTCGGCTGGTGGTCATGATTATTTTACAAGCATAGACAAGATAACAGCTGTCATGACTCGTGAATGTTTTGCAGCGCAAAATCTGACAGAATGGATAAATAGTCTGGAAATAATTTTCGTTTATCTACAGCTCAGATCTAGAATTCTGAAGTGAAATAAAGAAGCCCTGTAATATATGTTTTTTAATGAATTTGAATGAATTAACCAGAGAGAGAGAGAGAGAGTGAGTGAGTAACCCAATAGTGAAGTATGTTAGTTTAAAAAAAAAAAAAAAAAAAAATTGCACACACAAAAAAAGAAATATATATATATATATATATATATATATATATATATATATATATATATATATATATATATATATATATATATATGTAATATATATTGTATAAAGAAACCTAGAAAGAAATGAATGCAGCCTATAACTAAATCATTAAAAATGAACACAGTACACTTCACTAGGGAAAAATATATGGATTATCATGGTACTTCAATCGTCATTTGGGACAAAACTTTATTTTAATTTTTTTGATCAATAATACAGTAAAAACAGTAACATTTAGCTTCTGTGTTTTTAATTATATTATTTACATTTTACATTTAACTACTTACAAAACTTTAATTTCTTTTCATTATCTTTAGAGAAAAAAGAAACGGTACCAGAGGACTTGTTTTTCTCAATGGCAGACTCCAAGAACCGTAAGTTATGGGGACCAAATGTTACCACAAGTATAGTAATACCAGAAGTGTCTGACCTTGTGGGGACATTTTTTTGTTCGCAATGAGGAAAACAGCTTATAAATCATACTAACTGATGTTTTTTTTGTTATGGGTAGGGTTAGTTTGTACAGTACAAAAATCGTTATGTCTATGAAAAGTCGCCATAAAGTCGCGACGTGTGTGTGTGTGTGTGTGTGTGTGTGTGTGTGTGTGTGTGTGTGTGTGTGTGTGTGAAATGTATCCATATATGCATTTGCATGGGTCTTCAATTGCTCTGCAGAAACGGCTTTACCCTTGGAGGAGTACATGGACAACAGTCCGACAGAGATGGAAGGTATGTGCCTTTAACTGTGTCTGGCTGACATTACAATCAAAAACACAGTCATGTACTCATTCACTTTAACAAATGGTACTATTTCATATCCCAAGCCTTTGTGATGATATTATGTGACAAGACAACAAATAAAGTTTTCTGGCATTTTGTATGAATTTGCTTGTATAACAAGCCAGAATTATGAGTTTAGATTTGTATAACAGGTATAATAAAACCACAATCTCTCTAATATCATTCAGAATATGAGAAAAAAGAAGAACTGTTTACTGATCATGTTTCAGCTGTTCATGTGGATGGTGTGATTAAAGGTAAGATACCTAACAAACATCGACTAATATCTATCATATATTAACATTTGTAACATAAATTAATAATTTCATTTTCATTTTAATTTCAATAAACAGTTTAAGTTGTGTTGACATAATGTTTATCATTAACTTAAAGCTGCTGTCCGTAGCTTTTTTTGGGTTAAAAATTATCCAAAATACATATTTGATAAAATACATAACCAGCCAGTGTTCAAAACTATCTGCTTGCCTTAGCTCGATGCAAAACGGTAAGCTTGTAATAATGTTTTTAATTTTAGTGGTACTGGTGGATTTCCGCGGGAGATTCGAGCATGTCTTTGCGTCATTACGTCACATCTGTACACATAAAGAAGGAGTCTCGGCTAGTATAAGCTAAATTGCGTGTGAGGATGTTGGAGGTAGAGATTTATAGCCTTTTCTCACAGCACTTGATATAATTAAACTTATCAATTTGATGGCGGATCCAGAAAGGTTCAAACGACGATCATCATCAGTGACAACTAGAGACTCACCCGCTGTAACATGCAAAAGACTTCGTTCGGACTTCGGAGTGGCTACAGAAAAAAAGAGACTGCAACCGGACCCATGCGAAAACAAGGATAATATCGGAAGGACATTACATGATGTAGTCACGCAATGCTTGCTGACGTTGTTAACATTAACAATTTGAGAACATAGTATAGCTACTTTGCACGGTTTTGCGTGAAATGATAACTTATAAGCAATTGTTAGATTTAATCAGCGCGATTTACTGCAATGTCAGAACCAGAACAAAAGTGAATGTTTCTTACTAGTTCAGATGACATTTCCCGGTGAAAATTGTTATGTTGGTCATACTTCCAAAAAGAATAATCTGTGATTCTGAATGACAATATCCACATCGGAGCGGTGACTGACAGCTGCACACTCTCCTCAAACATTGTGTTCATCCCCGCTGTGCCTTGTCGAGGGTGTTGAACTACAACCCACGTAAAGTTGATAATTCCGCGAATGACTGCAATTGCAGATTTCGAACAGAGATGGCGACAAAGAGGAAAAATGCCGGACTGCAGCTTTAATATTGTAATTTAAACTCAAATTTCAGCATTACTCAAGTAGTTGGAGTTTTGAGGAATCAACTTTAAAAAACAAAGTTGTGTTTGTTACATATTATTAAGTTCCTCTACATAATTTCATTCAAATTTGTCATAACTCAAAAAAGATTGATGCAAACTGTTGTGTCAGTTTGTTGTTGTTATTGAGCTGACACATTATTTTTAGAGTGTGTACATTACACTTTAAAATTTTTTCCGGCGCCCACCGCGAGTATTCCCACCACCCCAACCAAGCTCCTGTATCCCTTACATTTTAAGAGAGGTGTTATAGCCTAAATGAAAACACACACACACACACACACACATATATATATATATATATATATATATATATATATATATGTGTATGGTATATATAGGGTATATATTAAGAGCATTTATTTAAAGGCTTATTTGCATATTTTCTGTTCATTTAACATAGCTTGTCTTTACATTTACATTTTATTTTCATTCCACACATTATTTTCATTTCATATTGCTTTTCTTTTACAGTTTTTCTTTTCATTTGCAGTTTTTCTTTTCATTTCACATAACTTTTCTTTACTCTTTTAGTGAGTTATTGAACAAATTTGTTGCAGACTTTGTATTAACTGTTTTGGAAGGAGTGTATTTGTGGGCTGGGCCAGAGTGGTTAATTTTACATGAGAGTAGAGCAAACAGTTCTGTTGTCTAACATCGTCCTATTCTCTGTAACAATCTTTCGTACCATGCTAAACACCCTTTCTCGTGCTGACATACATCATTCCTTCCCCGTGTGCAGGGCCATAGCTAGAGGATTCGGGGCCCCCTGAAAAAATATTGATGTGGGCCCCCACCACACTCCACCAATATCATATACTGTACAATAGATGAACATGGAGGCCCACATAACAGAAGATGGTGATGTTGTTGTAAAACGTACTCGGTTACTAACGTAACCTCTGTTCTCTCTAGAGAGGGAACGAGTACTGCGTAATAGCTTACGCTAGGGGAAAAACTCTTTTCCGCGAGATATTGAAGCCAAAAATTATCCTTAATTTTTTAATAATGTAAAACGCTTTGCAGCAGCAAGCAGACATAGGCGAAACAGCTCGCGCGCCTATTGGCTGCTCTGCAGCAAATGCAGCAGCCTATCGAGAGAGACTCTGCGTGACGTAATGACCAATGGGGGCCATTCGCGCCCATATCGTCACGTCCCGCCAGAAGGGGCGTGGTCTCACCCTATAAATATGCTCGTTAGGCTGATACAAACTGGTTTTTACCGCTGAAGCGAACCAGAGCGTATTCCAAGCACGGCAAGATACGCAGTACTCGTTCCCTCTCTAGAGAGAACAGAGGTTACGTTAGTAACCGAGTACGTTCTCTTACGAGAGTATCTCTCGTACTGCGTAATAGCTTACGCTAGGGGAACACAATGCAACACGCCGTGCGTACAGGGATCCAACACCAAAGTCCCGGGGGCCGAAGCCCAGGGCTCATGTAGTGCATAATCACCATAAACTCACATAGAGTGGAGGAAGAGAGGCTGGAAGCGTCATTCCTTATAAAAAAGCACCCAGCGGGGCTATTATATGACAACAAAACGCGCAGCCAGGGTGAAAGCTTTCAGCCTGATCTGGGTAGCCATACGTGTGTCAACACTCATGGGGCTGCAGTAAACTCAGCATCTGGGCCGCACAGCGGGGCAGATAGCACTGAATTTTAGACCGCCAAAAGCTTAGCTTGTAAGGCGGGTACCTCCAGGTTATAGTATTTTATAAATGTAGACGGCGAGGCCCAGCCCGCGGCCGTACAGATATCTTGCAGGGAAACCCCGCTCGACCACGCCTACGAAGAGGCCACGCCTCTCGTGGAGTGCGCCCTGACACCCAAAGGGCACTGTAGGCCCTTCGCAGAGTAAGCGAGCGCAATGGCATCCACTATCCATCTGGATAGGCTCTGTTTTGAGGCGGCGAGTCCCTTAGAACGCCCGCCAAACAAAACAAAAAGCTGCTCCGTCTGTCTGAAAACAGACGAGCGTGACACATAAGCTCTCAATGCCCTGACGGGGCAAAGGAGACTCGCATCATCCTCCTCACTGAGAACCGGAAGGGCGGACAGGGAAATTACCTGGGCCCTGAACGGTGTATTGAGGGATTTCGGGACATACCCGTGCTTTGGTTTGAGAATGACCTTCGAGTCATTAGGCCCAAACTCCATACACGACGCGCTTACTGAAAGCGCCTGTAAGTCCCCTATGCGCTTCACTGAAGCGAGAGCCATGAGAAACACTGTTTTGAACGACAGGTGTTTCATGTCCACCAGCTGGATTGGCTCGAACGGGGCGCCTTTCATGGCCTCCAGGACCGTGGAAAGGTCCCACGTCGGGACTGAAGGGGGCCTGGGAGGGTTCAGCCTCCGAGCTCCCCTAAGGAAACGCACGACTAAGTCGTTTTTCCCCAGCGACTGGCCAGACACCGGTTTTGCAAACGTTGCTATGGCCGCCACATACACTTTGAGCGTGGATGGGGTCCTGCCCTTATCCAGTAGCTCTTGAAGGAAGGAAAGCACTTCCGAAACCCCGCACTCCACAGGTGAAAAGCTCTGGGCTTGACACCATGCAGAGAAAACAGACCATTTCGAGGAGTAGAGCCGCCTGGTAGACGGAGCTCTAGCCTGCGCGATCGTGTTTAACACTCCTTCTGGGAGGCTAGCGGGTACCCGTTGATGGCCCATGCGTGCAGGGACCACAACTCCGGGCGAGGGTGCCAAATCGAGCCCTCCGCCTGAGAGAGGAGGTCTCTCCTCAATGGTACAGGCCATGGGGCAGTGCTGGTCAGCTGCATCAGGGCAGGGAACCACGTCTGGTTTGTCCAGAGCGGAGCTACGAGCAGCACTGGGCATCCGTTCTCCCTGATTCGTTCCAACACCTGAGGCAGGAGCGAGACGGGAGGAAAAGCATATAGGGGGCAGCGGGGCCAAACATGAGCCAGCGCGTCCTTGCTTTTCGAGAAAAACTCCGGGCAATGAGCGTTTTCGTGGGACGCGAACAGGTCCACTTGTGCTCTGCCGAACGTTTTCCACAGCAGCTGGACCGTCTGCGGGTGCAGCGACCATTCCCCTGCCGGGACCTTGTTCCTGGACAGTCTGTCTGGTCCCACATTCAGGTGACCAGGCACGTGCGCCGCTCTCAGTGAGAGCAGGCTGTGCTGAGCCCAGACCAGAAGGCGTTCCGTCAGCCTGAGAAGGCTTCGTGACCTGACGCCGCCCTGGCGATTTATGTATGCCACCACTGACATGTTGTCCGACCGGACTAAGACGTGGTGGCCTGTTATCTGGGGACAAAAAAGCCGTAGCGCTTTGTCGACTGCTATCATCTCCAAGCAGTTTATGTGAAGGAGCTTTTCCCGTTCTGACCACAGGCCAGCTAGCGGTCTGCCCTCGAGCAGCGCTCCCCACCCCGAGGTGGAGGCGTCCGTAGACACCACCTTCACACTCGAAGCGGTCCCCAGACTCACACCTGACTGATACCAGTCGGTCACTTTCCAAGGTTCCAGAGCTGAAACGCACTGAAGGTCGACCCTGAGGCGAAACAGACCCGCTGTCCATGCCCTGGGTGGAACCCGCGCTTTCAGCCACATCTGCAGTGGGCGCATGCGGAACAAGCCCAACTGGAGTACAGAGGCTGCTGAGGCCATCAGCCCCAGCACTTTCTGAAACCTTTTGAGCGGAACTATCGCGCCGTGGCGGAAGGATTTCACGCAGCGCTGAATACTCAGTACGTGCTCTGGTGACAGGCGTGCTGTCATGGACAGCGAGTCCAACACGGTTCCCAGAAAGGAAATTTTCCGACTGGGAGACAGTGAGCTCTTCGCCCAATTGACTGTGAGGCCCAGCTTCTCGAGGTGCTCGAGTAATGCGGCCCTGTGTTCTATGAGCTCCGATCGT